CCACTTCTCTTTTGGTCTTTATCTTTCTACCCCACTTGTTTGTTTACCCATTTCCCCCTTCCTTTTTTTTTTCTCTTCTGACCCCATCTTTTTTTTTGTGGTTTATTAACCCATTTCTCTCCTTTTTGTTTTTTTATTCTTGTATGTACTTTTATTTTCTGTTTTAAGACTCTCACTGTATTTATCTTAAACTCTCACATTATTTATAAATATTGTATTACTTTTTAAAAACAACGTAAATATTGTTTAATGCTTATTTTACGATAATTTAAATCCATCTAGGCTCCTACCTAGATCTCGCCTAGGCACCTAGCTGCTAAGTTCTCCATTTTTTGACTAGCGCCTAACATTTTTTAGGATCTAATACTAGCCAATTTAAGATTCTTACATTGGCTTTGATATTATAGCTTACAACTGCTTTGGTGAAGAAACTATTTTCTACTATGAATATTGACTCAAAACTTTCCACTCTCCAATGTGAAAGCACCCGCTTCGCCCCTCCCCTAGGCAAAAAAAAATATTTCAATGGGATCAAGTTCATGTTGCAGACAGTGGGTTCAATCTTGTGACAATTTGAACCAATCTAGGCAGTAGCAGTTTAACTATAGTGGTGAGTTGGTGCAGGTGCGTCCATGGGTTCTGATGGTCTCTTCCGTGTAGATAGGGTAGCAACGACAACAGTTGCTCGCTCGCTGTTCGTTTTAAATACAGATAGGGTAGCAACGACAATAGTCGCTCGCTGATCGAGGGATAGCAATGACGATAGTTGCTTGCTAGTCAAGAGACAACAACAACAATAGTCGCATGCTGACCAATGACATAGCACTAAACATGGCTAACCCGCAACAGTGTTATTGCAACTAGGGTTTTTTTTTTCTTCGACCTGGCTTTAGTGCCAAGAAGAGAGTGCTTTGAATGATAAGTTTATTCTTCTGAGAAAGAGGTATAATATACAATCTTAATCCTAACAAAATAGGGAAGAATAATTACACAAGATTACAAAGAGATTTCACCCAGATTACACGGGATCCATCCTAAACTAGGAAATCCTAAATTATAGGAAACTATACAAGTTAACAGGTCATACCATCCGGTCGTAAAGCCTTTGTAGGATGCATTTGAAAGAGAGCAAACTTTATTTCATCATCTTTAAATGGCAAAAGAAGTTCATCGTTCATTTCCTAATGGCATCAAGAACTTCTATCATTTCATTCATCACTACGAATCAAACAATTGTGTGAAGTAATCCATAATAATATTTTCCTTACCTAACTTATCATCATGCCACATTCCATTCGCATTCAACGGTAATAACAATAATTACGTAAAAAAAAAATTATAACATTAAACATCCAAATGAGCATGTCTAGCTGAAGTAAAATGTGTTTTTTTTCCTTGGTGGGTTTAGTTATTGTGGGAAAAGGAAAAGTGGTAGTCGTTATTGCATCTTTTATCTCTCTATATAAAGGAAGAGGCCAAATATGATGAAGCATATAAAATACTAAATTTTGTTCTTCCCTAATTTGATAATTTTTTATAAAGTAAGTATGATATGTTGAATCCCACATAGGCCATACAAAAAGAAAAGTAATAATTTAAATATCCTAACCCTACTCTAACTAATACTGAAGCCTTTTGTGATAAACCTCACACCTGACGGATTGTGCAGGTGGTAATTACCAAGTTGGGGACAGTATCGGTGTTGTTAGAAGTGAGATGTATGGCTCGTCTCTATGATAATTCTACATGGTATCAGAGTCGGGGAGCGTGCTTGTATTGTACTGCCATGTGATGGTGGGTCCCCTTGGCCCTGCGCGATGATGGTGGGTCCTTTGGCCCCGCGTGTAGGGTGAGTCCCCTTGGCTCCACATGGTTGCCGATGTGTGGATCTCCCACGTGTGACCCACTAATTAGATCCCACGTGATGGGGTGTGTTGAATCCCATATCGGCCATACAAAAAGAAAAGTAATAGTTTAAATATCCTAACCACACTCTAACTAATACCGAGACCTTTTATGATAAAACCCCACACTTGACGGATTGTGCAGGTGGTAATTACTAAGTTAGGGACAATATCGATGTTGTTGGAAGTGGGCCGTATGGCCCGTCTCTCTGATAATTCTACATGATATTCATTGAAAAAGTGGAAAACGTACAAACCAAGATGAGGATAGACTGCAGAACTGGGTCTCGATAAAAACCTTGTCGGGGATTTCAACTAAGTAAAAGGAAAAAAGAGTATTCTGCACTTACAAACTTAGAGTTCATTATCCTCAACAAAAGCACTAACAGTAGAAACTTAAGACATCACAAAGAACTATCGTGCATAAGCACATTAATGAGAATACCAGGTGGATGCTCCTGCCATTGCGCCTCCAGTTGTTGACCTAGCCCAACCTGAGCTAGCCTATGTGTTACATGGTTTGTGTCTCATCGTACATGGCTCAGTTGTTTAGGAGGAAATACTTGAATACAGTACTGAAGGACATCAACAATCAGCCCTAACATTGACATATCATCTCCTTTTGGTGCCATCGCTGCAAGGGTCATAGACAAATCACCCTAAACTTGAAACCACACCCCGAGTTCAACCAGTCACCGTCACTAAGAAACCCCCATCACTGTTATGAAGAATCACCCCAAAGCCACCATTCTTCAATCTTTCCTCCCATGACTCGTCAAAGTTGCATTTAATCCATCTCTTACTAGGCTTCACCCACTTCTTAATTGAGGACCTAAGCCTACCTACCCATCTCAAACCATGGAAAAGTACCAGAGGAGTTGCGGCTATGCTCCGCCAACAGTACAAGGAATTTGTCGATGTTAAACACATATAATTTCACTAATAAGAAGTAACTAGTAATTTTTAAGATCTTACATTACTAAAACTTAAATTCTAATTTATTTATTTTTAATGTTGAAATATAAAATTTGTTTTATAAATAAAAACTACGAAACTAAGTTTAAAGAGGTTACACTTGAGTAGGGTTCACCCGAGTCCCAGATGGACTAAAACTGTTAAGGATTGGCAATTGATTCTGATAAGGTTAGGGTTGTTAAAGAGATCATAATTCATGCTTAATCAGCTAAGAAGGAAGTAGGTTTAGAAAGGGACTAAGTTTAAAGCCCTGATTCGAATGGAGAAGCTGATCAGGGTTAAGCTACAGAAGGATGGGTAGGAATATTTTGGGAGATGCAGATGAGGTTCAGTCCTAGCAAGACTTTGCCTTGGCAAACCTGTTGATCCTTAGGGCTTTATCTATTAATAGAAGAAGCATCGCAACGAGAAGGAGATCTTCGACTCAACATATAAATCAACACTCTACGTGAAACCTTCTCATACCTTGAGAAAACACTAACTACTCATTAATCCCTCCCAGTTGGCAAATATTCAGTTTGGTTAAACATGTCAACAATGGCGACACACCTTTAGTTTGGTTAAACAACACTGGAGTCGTAGAATCTGCTTGGCCTAGGAGACCTTTAGTTTGGTTAAGCAACACTCGCATACCCTTGTTGGTTATTTATCCAAGTCTTGGCGGATGAGGAATTCTCCTATTCTTTCGTCTCAAGAGGTCATTTTACCAGTTTTGGTGAAGTGAGGTGTTCCCAAGTTACCCCTTGTTCGGCACAACGAAAGCCGAATTACTTATTGAACTTCGCAGCAAGATTAGCAACCTTGTCTTCAGGTTAGCAAAACCCTAGGCCGAGAGTGTTCCTTCCTCGATTGTAATCATGGAAGTCCACAATGCGATTCGACACCACCACCACCACCATCACTATCTTACTCGCCCGATTCACCTCAGTGGCAAGTTGGCATGCCCGCATCAACCACAAGAAGGACGTAATTAGCTCTTAGTTACTTGGTATGGGCACCAGGTAGGCTTGGTGGTTTTTAGGGTCAACAAAATCGTAAGGAAATTGGGACATAGGAGGGATTTTTAGGAGGTACTAAGCATCTTATCTTATTAATAGTATTGATAATTGATTAAAAATAATAGTATAGATAGTTGACAAAAAATTATTTTATGGATAGTTGACAAAAAAAAAAAAAAAAAAACTAGTTGTATAGATTGAGAAAATTTTCTTTTTTCATAAACTAAGATGCAAGATGTATGTGATTCGCATAAATTAGTCTGTAAGTGTTATTGCTAAATAATCATGGAGTGAACATTGTTTTTAAAGCGCTAGTTGCAAATGAAAACGATTTCCACAATTTGATAGGGGATTCTTGGTGGAGACATGGAAATAAAGTCGTTTATATTAAGTTTCCTCGAAGTTTACACTTGATCACTTCTTGTCCCAAATTTTCTTTGTCAATTAAATGTCAAAATAAATCTCGCAAGTATATTGAGTTTTAGAACGAAAGTCGAATTACTTATTGAACTTTGCGGTAAGATAGCAACCTTATCTTTAGGTTAGTAGAATCCTAAGTTGAGAGTCTTCCTTCCTCGATCACAATCACAGAAGTCAGCATTGCGGTTCGACACCACCACCACCATCATCAACTTACTTGTCCAACTCACCTCGGTGGCGAGTTGGCAAGCCCCCATCAACCACAACAAGTGTGTAATTAACTCTTAGTTACTCAACCTACACGCCACGTATGTTTGGTAGTTTTTAGAGTCAACAAAATCGTAAGAAAATTGGGACATGGGAGACATTCCTTGGAAAGACTAAGGTTTTTAGACACTGTCGCATTTGTAGATCCAACTAAGAAAATCTTGTAAGTGATTACAATTTACAAACCTAGCTTAGAAAGTAAACTCAATAGAAGACAATGTCGCATTTGATTGATCCGTTCGATACGGTAAATCGTGTAGGGGATTACAATATACAAACCAAGCTTGTTAAGTAAGTTTACTCAGTAGAGTTGAAAGCTAGCTCATTGCGTCGAATTTCTCATTCTCTTCCTTTCTTTCTTTTTTCTTTTTTTCTTTTTTTTATTTTTATTTTTTTGTGCGCGCGTTGTAACCAATAATTATAGGAATTTAAAAGCTAGTGCAAAATACAGTAACTTAATTTAAGGTCAACATGACCAAGGGAAAATAAAAAAGATCGATGACATAAAATAAAATTTAGAGGAAGAAGTATTTTCTCATACATGATTCAAACAAGTTCGATGTGAGCATCAATGTAGTATTTATCTCTCTCTAGTCTTCTTCATCCACATCTGTGATGAATTTACCAGTTCCGGGATTCACCGCAGCGATGAAGAAGAAGACAACGTTGAGCAACACAAGGGGTTCGATTTCGCTGATGGGGACTCCAGTCTCAATGTTTAACTGGGCTAGAGCTCCCTTCCCTGTAATGATTTCTCCTATTAGGGAGAATGCAAATCCCAACTGTGCCAATCTTCCCACAAATAGCTCATTTGCCTTTGTGAATCCAAATAGAGGACCTATGCATTTGTTACACAACAAGAACTCCTTAGATCATCTAGGTCATGCCACGTTGCACAAATATAAATTACTTCTATATGAATACGCTTTCTCGTTAGACATGTTATGATGTAAAACTATCAATTGATCAGACTTCTACATGTCTAAGATGACACTGTAACAACTTAACATGTGACAAAAGACAGTTACTCTATAATTTGAACATTACTTATCTTGACATGCAAATTAGTTACCTCCTTCCTTGAGTCCCAGGGCTGATTTCAATCCTTTGCCTGGAGGGATCACTGCCCCTTCAATTCCAGCGGGCGGGTCATCGACGAATCTACCACGGTCACCTAGAGCTCCAATGGCTCCAAGCAGGGTGAAAAGGATGAAGAAGAGAAGAAGGGGTTCAGCTTCATAGATGGGAATTCCAGTTTCCAAATTCAATTGGGAAAGAATCCCTTTCCCTGTAATTGCTTCTCCCAACAATGATGCCTGTAACGTTTGCACAGAAAGGCTCAGAACAATAAATAAATACATAAATAATACAATTCTACAATTTCATGCTTCTACGAATTCTCATCGTACATGACGTCCATTGTTTTATATGTTATATGTCAAAATACTTCATAAATACACACATACACACACAAAAGGGCAAGGCTTGTGACTGTTTGGCAGTCCTGTGTGAGGGTTTACTATTTGTATATCTTCAAATGCTTCATCATGCTAGTTATATGATCATCTAAAAATACTTCGTTCATGCCAATTATATGATGGTCTACTATAAGAACACGATTAAGAAGCTTTTTATACTATTTTTACTATTTAATTAGACCAGTATTTTGCACCATGAATTCTAAATGAAGTGGCATTAGAGCACAGCGAGAAAGGAGAGGATTATACAGAAATTTGTTGGTTAGATAAGAAACAATTTTTTCCACGTAACATAATTTGGAAGATGTTATCAGAGCATGAAGAACTGATTGGGTGGCAAGAAGACAGTAAAAAAGGTTTTCTCGTACTCGAGATTGATTATTAATATGTTAAGATTTGATAACATAGCTATGTAGACAATTTGTTACACTACTTTGGATCAAGCTGTTAAATGAAGAAATTTCCTGATGTCCAATTTTCTTTATTACCTAACATTTTGTTTTATGTGTCTCAATTCAAAGCTTGTTTTGGAGCTCAATAATTTTAAGCTTTTTGTTTCGAACGGAGTAGGTTTCATGCTCCATCTTGTTCATCTATCTTTCAATTTTCAAATTTGCTTTATTGTAAGCCGTAAAATTTATGTCCTATGACAAGATGTAATTTTTTATTTAATAAAATTTCCATTGTGTTGTCAAAGTTGTTTTCTTTTATTTAAAAAATAAAAATTAAAAGTTAGGCAACTCAAATCCTATATGGCCAAGAAAACATTTATCTAAATTTGTCTACCACCACAACCCAAGCACACAATTTTGCTGTGTCACTTAAAATATGTGTTACAAAGTACTAACATATTCTGAAGATAATATAAGGTATTATATTTTCTTTCGTACGTGGTAATGTAAAACAAAAAAAATAGAAACTCGGTGTAAAAGTTGTCTCAACTTATCAATAGTGCTCAGATGAGTAATGTAATTGAACTAATTGTCACAACTTCATTCTGATAAGCACCCAACAAACTAGCTAGTTTAAAAAAAGAATTCTATTCACAAACACACAAAGTGAGATTATAAGAACTTATAACAACAAAAGGAAAATCATATATAACTGAAAAGTAAGTTTAAAAACAAACAAAAACGAGCAAGAAGAAGATTAATGTCTTACAGCAAAGCCAATCATGGCAACCCGACCAACAAAGAGCTCATTTTGCTTGGTGAAACCAATGCCCCCAGAGGTTCCAAAGATACCGTCTTCAACCTTGGGCTTCGGCGGTGGTGCCTGTAAATTTGTGGTTAACTAAGTGACGTTTTAACTACAAAAATAAAAACAAAGAATGAATGTACGTAGTGTAAAAGAAGTGAAAACCTTCTTGGCAGGAGCTTTAGTTTTCGATTTGAAGAGAGCGACAACGGTCGAAATCCTTGTAGACGACGACGAGGCTGAAGAGGATGAAGGGAGGGCTCTGAAAACAAGTTGAGAGAAAGACTTAGGCCTAAGTCTTTGAGCTTGTACTTGGAGTAAAGGGTCTGAGGACTTCAAGTCCACAACATGGCCTGAAGACACACTACTAGACATGAGAAGCATGGTTTGAGCCATGGTTTTTTTTTCTTTTTTCTTTTTTTTTTTTTTTTTTTTTTTTTGTGCTAGGGTTTAACTTTGCTGTTGTTGGAAGAAGATTATCTTTGTTGCTTCGGGTGGAGAACTGGAGGTGTGCGTGAGAGTTAGAGCTGGTTTAAATCGAGAGAGATGTGGATATGGTGTGTGTGTGAGCAACTGATGGGCAATTAAAAAGCCACGTCTTTGAGTACTTTGTGATGTTGAAGATAATGTTGGAGCCTACCACAGTGCAATAACATCAACAAATTATAAAATAGTCCACAAACTTTGGAACTGACGCGTGTAAAATTTTAACAGGTTGGATTGATAAGGTGAAGATCATATAGCAACACAGCATAACAACAGAATATTCAATTCAATTGTTGCAGAGTGTGGCCATTAATGTGATTTTGTAACTCATGTGTTACGGGAAAAACTTGACAATCACCAGTTTATGCATGTGCATGTACACTTTTTCTATCTCTCTTGTAACTAGGCCTGGTAATTCTTGACATGACCCGATAACTCGATACAACACGACACGAAATTAACAGGTGTTCGGGTCGACACGATAACGAAACGGGTCGTTATCGGGTAACCCGATAAGCACCTGTTAAGATAACGGGTTGTTTCGGGTATACACGTGGGTAACACGATACACGATAAACAGAATATTAATTTAATAATTTTATAACCCTAAAAAAAATACTATAATTACTATATATATTAATTTAACAATTTTATACGCCTAAAAACTATAATAATTATATATATATATTAAATTAACTATAATAATTATAATAATTATATATACTATAATAATTATACCCCCAAAATATTAACTATAATAGTTATATTTATATATATTAAATTTTAAATTAAATTTTATACCCCTAAAAACTATAATAATTATACATACAAAATAAATAGATTTAAATCTACTTAATAAATAAATATATATATATATATATACACACACACACCATTGAACTTCATGGGATACAAATTATACGAAACTAATTTCAATGATTCAACCGTCAAACTTGTTTGTATATGCTTCGAGATCGCATCAGCAAAAAATTACAAAAAACAAACATTCACAGATCAAGTAACGAGACAAAACTTTTCGACGGTTATAAACGAAAAATCACGATTTAACGGTTATTTTAACTCCGATTTTGATGATTTTTTACAGCTACACTCCTTGACCCTATATAAATACAATGAATGAATTCGATCTTCAATTTAAAATATTTACACTAGTGGATACCACAAAATTTGATGTTATACTTGATGAAAGTATGAATAAACTCTTAAGTGTTAGTGAATCGATTGTTTTGATGGGATACGCATTCTACGAAACTAGTTTCAACGATCCAACCGTCAAACATGTTTGTATATACTTCGAGATCGCATACGCCAAAAATTGCAAAAAACAAACATTCAGAGATCAAGTAACGAGACAAAACCTTTCGACGGTTATAAACGAAAAATCACGATTTAACGGTTATTTTACCTTCAATTTTGATACTTTTTTACAGCTACACTCATTGACCCTATATGAATACAATAAATGAATTCGATCTTCAATTTAAAATATTTACACTCGTGGATACCACAAAATTTTATGTTATATTTCATGAAAATATGAATAAACTTTTAAGTGCTAGTGAATTTATTGTTTTGATGAGATACGCATTTTACGAAACTAGTTTCAACGATCCAACCGTCAAACTTGTTTGTATATGCTTCGAGATCGCATACACAAAAAATTGCAAAAAACAAATATTCGGAAATCAAGTAACGGGACAAAAAATTTTGACGGTTATAAACGAAAAATCACGATTTAACGGTTATTTTAATTCTGATTTTGATGATTTTTTACATTTACACTCCTTGACCCTATATGAATACAATGAATGAATTCGATCTTCAATTTAAAATATTTACACTAGTAACAAAATCTTATGTTATACTTGATGAAATTATGAATAAACTCTTAAGTGTTAGTGAATCTATTGTTTTGATGGGATACGCATTCTACGAAACTAGTTTCAACGATCCAACCGTCAACATGTTTGTATATACTTCGAGATCGCATACGCCAAAAATTGAAAAAACCAAACATTCAGAGATAGAGTAACAGGACAAAACTTTTCGACGGTTATAAACGAAAAATCACGATTTAACGGTTATTTTAACTCCGATTTTGATGATTTTTTACAACTACACTCCTTGATCCTATATAAATACAATGAATGAATTCGATCTTCAATTTAAAATATTTACACTAGTGGATACCACAAAATCTTATGTTATACTTGATGAAAGTATATATAAAATCTTTAAATGTTAGTGAATCTATTGTTTTGATGGGATACACATTCTACGAAACTAGTTTTGACGATCCAACCATCAAACTTGTTTGTATATGCTTTGAGATCGCATATGCCAAAAATTGCAAAAAACAAACATTCAGAGATCATGTAACGGGACAAAACTTTTCGACGGTTATAAACGAAAAATCACGATTTAACGGTTATTTTAACTCCGATTTTGATGATCTTTTACAGCTATACTCATTGACCCTATATAAATACAATGAATGAATTCGATCTTCAATTTAAAATATTTACACTAGTGAAAGTATGAATAAAATCTTTAAATGTTAGTGAATCTATTGTTTTGATGGGATACATATTCTACGAAACTAATTTCGACGATCCAACCGTCAAACATGTTTGTATATACTTCGAGATTGTATATGCCAAAAATTGCAAAAAAAAAAACATTCAGAGATCAAGTAACGAGACAAAACTTTTCGATGGTTATAAACGAAAAATCACGATTTAACGGTTATTTTGAACTCCGATTTTGATAATTTTTTACAACTACACTTTTTGACCCTATATGAATACAATGAATGAATTTGATCTTCAATTTAAAATATTTACACTAGTGTATGTTATACTTGATGAAAGTATGAATAAAATCTTTAAATGTTAGTGAATCTATTATTTTGATGGGATACGCATTCTACGAAACTAGTTTTGACGATCCAACCGTCAAACATGTTTGTATATACTTCGAGATTGTATATGCCAAAAATTGCAAAACATAAACATTCAGAGATCAAGTAACGCGACAAAACTTTTTTACGGTTAAAAACGAAAAATCACGATTTAACGGTTATTTTAACTCCGATTTTGATAATTTTTTACAGCTACACTCCTTGACCCTATATGAATACAATGAATGAATTCGATCTTCAATTTAAAATATTTACACTAGTGGATACCACAAAATCTTATGTTATACTTGATGAAAGTATGAATAAAATCTTTAAGTGTTAGTGAATATATTGTTTTGATGAGATACGCATTTTGCGAAACTAATTTCAACGATCCAACCGCCAAACTTGTTTGTATATGCTTCGAGATCGCATATGCCAAAAATTGCAAAAAACGAACATTCAGAGATCAAGTAACGAGACAAAACTTTTCGACGGTTATAAACGAAAAATCACGATTTAATGGTTATTTTAACTCCGATTTTGATGATTTTTTTACAGCTACACTCCTTGACCCTATATAAATACAGTGAATGAATTCGATTTTCAATTTAAAATATTTATACTAGTGGATACCACAAAATCTTATGTCATACTTGATGAAAGTATGAATAAAATCTTTAAGTGTTAGTGAATCTATTGTTTTGATGGGATACGCATTCTACGAAACTAGTTTCGACGATCCAACCGTCAAACTTGTTTGTATATGCTTCGAGATCGCATATGCCAAAAATTGCAAAAAACAAACATTCAGAGATCAAGTAACGAGACAAAACTTTATAAACGAAAAATCACGATTTAATGGTTATTTTAACTCCGATTTTGATGATTTTTTACAGCTACACTCCTTGACCCTATATAAATACAGTGAATGAATTCGATTTTCAATTTAAAATATTTACATTAGTGGATACCACAAAATCTTATGTTATACTTGATGAAAGTATGAATAAAATCTTTAAGTGTTAGTGAATATATTGTTTTGATGGGATACGCATTCTACGAAACTAGTTTCGACGATCCAACCGTCAAACATGTTTGTATATACTTTGAGATTGCATATGCCAAACATTACAAAAAACAAACATTCAGAGATCAAGTAACGAGACAAAACTTTTCGACGGTTATAAATGAAAAATCACGATTTAATGGTTATTTTAACTCCGATTTTGATGATTTTTTACAGCTACAATCCTTGACCCTATATGAATACAATGAATGAATTCGATCTTCAATTTAAAATATTTACATTAGTGGATACCACAAAATCTTATGTTATACTTAATGAAAGTAAGAATAAACTCTTAAGTGTTAGTGAACCTATTGTTTTGATGAGATACGCATTCTACGAAATTAGTTTCAACGATCTAACCGTCATACTTTTTTGTACGCCAAAAAATTGCAAAAAACAAACATTTAAAGATTAAGTAACGGGACAAAACTTTTCGACGGTTATAAACGAAAAATCACAATTTAACGGTTATTTTAACTCCGATTTTGATGATTTTTTACAACTACACTCCTTGACCCTATATGAATACAATGAATGAATTCGATCTTCAATTTAAAATATTTACACTAGTGGATACCACAAAATCTTATGTTATACTTAATGAAAGTACGAATAAACACTCTAGTGAGTCACTTTCATTAAGTTTTGAGTTCTATTAGCAAGGTTTAAACTTTTGAGAAAGGTTTCACAACCTTGAAAACAAAAACGGTTTCATTTGTCATATCCTTGCACATTTAATATTTGTAATAGATTAGTAGTGTATGGATGTATTTTTTATGAGGCTCTTATTTTCGAGTGTAGATGTAGTCCTTAAACGACAAATGTGTTTTAATGTTTTGAAGTATTATTTATGTGACAATGTGTGGTATGTGCAAATTTAAGAATTTTTTTTTTTCTTAACGGGTCATAACGGTGACCCGACCTGTTAAGGACCCGTTAAGATAACAGGTGTGACACGACACGACCCATTAAGATAACAGGTGTTACACGAAAACGACACGAACACGACTGACACAACCCGTTTGCCAGGCCTACTTGTAACGGAGCATG